CACAGTACTTACAAACGTAATTTCATTTCATATTAGAGGAAATTACATTCACGTGATAGTATGAGAGTGAAACAAAAGCTAAGGTGGTTTTAATCTAGGTTAATTCCGACCAAAACCCCAATACCAGCTAGAATTTATCAGATTTTCATCTCCAAATTTAATCTAGATAAACTAGTTTTATATTCAAATTTTGTTTAGGTACTTCTGAACAATATACCATCAAAATAAGTTATAAAAAGAAAAATTATGCCATATATCAGTCTCATAAAACATAATTAAGAAACTAACTTTAAGTAAAACAAAATTAGGTATCTAAAATTTTTGCAACATAAAATTCTATTTTTACCCCATAATTCAATGTTATACATAGCTAACTATTTTGAAATTCGAGGTATATAGTGAACTATATATTTAACCATTTTTATGATTCAATGCTCTTCATAGTTAACTATTTTATGATAGAATAACTAACTATGCTTACGTACAATACTCTACATAGTTAGCTATATACAATGCTTTATATATATTGTATGTAAACATAGTTAGTTATTTCATGATTCAATGCTCTACAATTGTATGCTACTATATATATTAAATTACTTACAAATAGTTATACATTTTATTATTGGAAAAAAAAAATATTTATTCCGTTTATTATCACAAATTTATTTATCGTATGTTATATATTTTACACGAATAATGAATATGTTCAATTTATTTTACGCACAATGCATATCATATTTTACATTTACAGATATTAAAAAACATATGTTTTGTCATACACGTTTAAACATTAAAAAAAATATATATGTTAAAATTGATTAATCAATTTCTTCAATCATTTAAATGCGCGCTTAGGCAAAATCTAGTAAGGAATTAAAACAGAAAATAGAACTGGATTTTGCTTCAAGTACAAAATATTTTCCTTGTCGGCAACGATTTTTGAGATTTGATATTTTGTACTGTACATAAATATTCGAAAATCTTGCAAATTAAAATGGCATGATATTTCGACCCAAAAAAAAATAAATGGCATGATATATTTTAATCATGATGAATATGTCAGCGTTTCATTAGTTAAACTCGGTTAACCAGACCAAATTGAACCCCCAAAAAAAAAAGACAACACGAAAAACCAAATCAAATTGAAATAAGATCTAACTTGACCCCATGATGATATAACAAAATAAACATTTATTGATTATATATTGGCAAATCCACTTATATTACAATATTATAGATCATGATCACCATCACAAAGATGTTTGGTTTTATGAGGTTAAGTAGATTAGAAGATATCTTTAAAAGTAGGGAGTTTGATTTCGCCCTTGCTTGAAATAGGGATAGTGATATCTCCGACCACAGGAAGGTCAACGGTTAGACTGATCTTGAGCTCGTAGTCAATGTCCCAATCCACACCAACGTCTCGAGCCAAGTTCAACAGTATACTATACGGAACCAACACCGGAATGTCAAGAACCGTCATCTCCTCAGCTTTCAACGAACCCGGGTCCGGTATCTTCCCCTTTGCAATCTCCCTATCAAATTTGAACCGTTACAAACATTAGATCAAAAAAATCCAAATAACCAAACATCATAACCTAATAACCATTAATAGGATTATACATCGAAAATCTTATTAATAATTTGTAATGGATTAAAAAGAAAGGTTTTACCGGCCGGCACTATGAAAAGTGAAACTGATCTCGCAGATGGGAATCGAATGACCGTAAGGATTGGTGACTGAAACTTTGGCTAAGTACTCGACCGAGTCACGGTTCACGTCTTTAAGGTCAACGTCCGTAACTGAACCCTCCGGTTTAGGAACTCCGGCTAGTTTATCAGCAACAAACTCCTTGGCTTTATCTAAGAGACTCGCCATTCTTGTTAATTCTCTTTTTCTTTTCTTTGTTTCGGTGTTTTGAGTTTGTGTGTATAAAATATAAAGGTTTTCTTAGGATTATATATAAACGGATGGGATTACGAGAGGTATTACTAAGTCGGTCCATATGAATGGATTACATTTTATAATGGTTTGTGTACGTGTGAGGGATTTCGACTTGTGAGAGTGAAAGCGTGGGTTATACGTGTCTTGTGCTTGTTACATGACAAACAGTTTAATCTGGAAATAAAAAATAGAGATAATTACTAAAATAATTTTAGTTAATTATTAAAATAATTTTTATTTAATTTTGAAACTCAACACAAATTATAAAAAATAAATAAATTTTAATAATAAGTTTTTATTACAAAAATACCATTCATAATTTATAAATTAAAAAAAAAAATCAAACATTTGTTTGAAATCGCATCCGCGGAGGCTGCAGAAACACCAGATCGTATTCGACAGAGGTGTGGAGGCTACAGAAACACCAAAATTTAGGTAAAAATCGG